CAAGTAGATCCAGTATCCCCAACGAGTCCCCCTTCGGAGTTTTTCAAGATATTTCGGACAGATAGGGTTGGCTCGCGTTCAGGTCATCGGCGCCCTGCTCATCGCAAATGGGCCCTCGAACGGGATCGCGTGGAGGTTGTTCGTGTATGCGCGCCAAGAGCCGACAAAGTTCTGATTTCCGACAACGTACCCGCGGAAGATGAACGTCCCAAGCTGGGGATACAGCACCGGCACACGGACGATCGCGACTAGCCCGTCCCATTTGCGCACACGGCCGTAGAACCGGAACTGGTGCCATGCCTGTGCGTGACGCGAAAGAGTCTGCAAAAGAGGGACACAATGTCAGAATACCCAGACGCGAAAGGAACCTGAGAGAACATAACGCGCACGCACCTCGCCCGTAACGATGATGTCGCACACGCCGTTACACGTGTTGACGATGCACTCCTCGCCGTCGCTGTCGTCCGAGGACTCAATATACTCGTCCTCCGTCTCCGCATCCCCCATCTCCTCGTCTAGCAACTCGTCCACGTCCCGCCCCAACAATGCATTCGCTTCTTCGCGCAGCGCCTGCACCTCCTCTGCCTCCTGGCGCCAGTCCGCATGCGAATGCGGGGGCGAGCCCGAGCCCGACGCGTATGCGTGCGCCGATCCGCGCTCCCCCTCGCGCTCGCCCCCAGTCCCGCGCTCGACTCCTGGCTCACCCATCTCCTCGTCTTCGTCCTCCCCACTCGCCGCACGCACGTGCGCTCTCACGCGCCCACGCAGGTCCGCCTCCTCGTCCTCGCGCCGCATGATGCATTGCGTGCATGTCACTTCGCTATGCGAGTTCTCCCTGCCCTCAACGTACGTCTCGTACGTACTGATCTCCCCGCCGGCAGCCTCGTCAAGCACGCGCACGCAGCCCTGTAGGTCAAGGATACGTGTGCCGGTCGGAAACCAGGCATTGCAAATCCCATCGTCGTAGGGATGCGTGCTACCGCCGGGGGCAGTGGGAGTCTCGGGATTGATGCAGTGGTGTTCACGCAGACGCATGTACAGCGGGTACGTCATCATGCGCGGTTTCGTAATGGAGAAGTCGGAGGGAAACTGGGTCGAGGTGATCAGCTCTATATACTGGCTCATATCAGGGACCAGCATCCGCCCGCGCCAGAGCCCGTTCAGCGTGCCGTAGGTGTACACGACGCCCTTGAGCTCGTTAATGATCCACGGGTTGAAGCAACCAGTCAGCCTATTCCAGTCGTTGTCCCATTTCGAGCTGACCGATAGGAGCGAGCGGCGCCAGACACCGTCGTCTTCTAGCATCCCCTCGTCGTTCTTCAACTTCGAACGCCAGTCCCACTCGCCGTGAGGGACGAGGGAGATCGTCATGCGAGCGTTTGCTTCATCGACATCGTCGCGTGTGGGATGGACGTGCGTCAACCCGAGCTGGAGTGAGTGAGCACGGCTAGTGGGCTGTCCCTCCGTGTACGGGATACGTGTCGGATGGAGGGTCATATAGAGAAGCTTCGCGCCCTGCGCGATGAGAGGTGCAGAGATCATGAGGGGGAGACCAAAGTGACTGAACGTCTCTTGCAAGGCCATTGGCTGTCTATATAGCGGGTAAAATCCGTGAGGTGTCATGAGCGTGTAAGGAAATTCGTTTTGCAACTCCTCCGGAAGAGGGAAGTCGAAATGGTTGTCGGGCGCATGGAAGCTGGGGTAACGAAGCGCCGTGAGCATATACGGGCGGATGAGGTCGAGAATCTGGTTGCGCGTATCCGCATTCGCAGATTGGAGTTTAGCTAAGCACAGAGGGATTTGATTCAAAGCAAGGACAGTCTCTGTGGGAGGAGACGCACCTTGGTCAAGCCGCATCCAGTACACCCAAATCGCCAGTGCATTTACAGAGCTCTCCGCGGGCCAGCCGTTGCTGTGTATGCGGTCCTCCCAGAGCTTTGTGGAGATGAAGCGGAGGACAAAGTCATCGACGTTGGCCCAGTCGAGTTGGATGCTGTTCTTGCCGTCGTTCTCTGTGCACATGATGAAGGCCGTCCAAAGATCTTGCTCGATGTGGGGGTCGTCGAGGTCGCCGCGACGAACACGGGCGAGCATGCGGGAGACCCTCTTGAGCTGGATGGCGAGGTTGTGGCTGCGCATTGCGCGGGGACCCATGCGACGGAAGGCGGCACGGGTGTCGAACCTGGCGCGGAAGATGCGAGCGTAGAGGTGGTGGGCACTGTGAAAAGAGAGGACACTGTGGACAGACTTGCAAGTGAGGAGGAGGGGGACGAGGAGGGATGGAGGGCCGAGGGGGTCGAGGGCGGCGAGCTCGGAGGCGATGAGGACGAGGACGTCGCCGGGGATGGTCAAGAAGGAAGTCGGGGTCGGCATGGCGGGAGGGAGGGGGAGGGAGGAAGGGAGGT